AAAAATCTTGACAGAGGACCACAAAAATCAGCGAATGGCTGCAGCGTTGAACTTTTTGGACGCTTACCATAAGGATGGTGACTCTTTACTCGATCGCATCGTTACTGGTGACGAAACATGGGTGAAACATGTGAACTGTGAAATGAAATTGCAATCAATGCAGTGGGGGCACACAAGTTCTCCCCAAAAACCCAAGAAATGCATGCAAACAATGTCGGCAAGGAAGATGATGGCGACTGTTTTTTGGGACAGAAAAGGTGTAATTTTGGTGGACTTCCTGGAAAGAGGCACTACAATAAACTCTCAAAGGTATTGCCAAACTCTCCAAAAACTCAGAAGAGCAATTCAAAACAAGCGCAGAGGAATGTTGAGCTCTAAGATCTTGTTGATTCACGACAACGCCCGGCCCCACACGGCAAATGTCACTCGTAAAGTTCTTGAATCTTTTAAGTGGGAGTTGTTTCCTCATCCGCCGTACAGTCCCGACCTGGCACCGAGCGACTTCCACCTATTCCCAGCAACGAAGAAGTGGCTGGCTATGCAGCGTTTTGATGACGACGCACAGCTGCAAGAAGAGGTAACGAAGTGGTTGAAGGCGCAGGCGGCCGAATTTTTCGACGAAGGAATTTCCAAGCTCGTACATCGCTACGATAAATGCCTTAATTTGTATGGTGACTATGTAGAAAAGTAGTATTTGAGTGTGGCTTTCATCTGTATATAATAAAATTTGTTTCCTATACTTTGTTTATTTTTTTATTCCAAAACGTAATCTACTTTCTGGATAGCCCTCGTATAAAAGTCATAGATTTGTGTTTTGATGAATTTTCATTTAATCATGAAGCTCAGATTTCCTCCCCTCTTTAGAAATTCTTTTTCAGAGCCATTTTAGACTCTCCCCAGGTGATGTGTTTGTGTATGTATGAGATAGTTCCTCACTATATAATGGAAATGCGTTAAATAACTAGGAGAGTATATTTCATGTGAATTTGTTCTTAGCTTAACAGTCTGTTATTACTTTGATAAATTACATTTTAATTTCACTACTTAATTTTAATAAACAAAATTATTTAATGGAATAATGTTTGCAGGCAAATAATACACTTAAATATGCTTTCCTTTCACACTGAGAAATGTGTGCTTTGATTCATCATGAGACTGATAGCTTCATACTCATCTACAGAAACAAAGTAAAAAGTCAAGTTTCAAGTCTCTGTTTTAGTAATCAGTGATTGAAAATTGCTTTCCTAAATCATGTTTGTTTCAGTTGAAACAATAAATAGGTGGTCGGTTTTTTACTCTTAACTATGTCAATCATATTATCTATGTTCACACAAATCATATTTTCATATTTTTGTTGTAAAACTACTGAATTTAAAATTGAATATAGTTATTATTCTTTAGTCTATTTTCAGTACTTTCCAGTAATACAAGAAGTCAGTACTTTTTGTGTTACATGACAAAAACCCTGCTTAAGTGTGACTGTGAAGAAAAGGTGACTGAATCAGTAAACCTGAAACCAACCATTTTCAGTTTTTTAAATAAATTATATATATATATGATTATCTGCATCCTTACAGAAATTAGCAATGCATTGGTGACTTTGTCGCACAGTGAAAAACACTTGTGTGGCTATCTTTTTTTCACATTCTTTAATGTTGGGTATTTATTTTTTGTATTCAGTACTTCCATTATCATTTGCCTGTAAACTCCACAGTTCCAATATCATTATGGGAGGCGGAAAGGTAATACTAATCAACAAACTGAGAGTTAAGTGTGTGTAGTACGAGGGTAAGTTGAAAAATAAGTTTCCCCTGTCGACTGTGGTCAGAGTTGTGTATGAAAATCAAAAAATAGAATGAGACATTAAAGATATGACATACCTTTATTTTTCCACATAGGTACCAAGTACATTGAGACATTTGACATATCGCTTGATAAGCTTCAAAAAGCCCTCCAGGAAAAAATCAGGGCTTTGCATATGGAAGAAGCGTTGAACAGCTTGTTTCACTTCAGTATTGCTTCCAAAGCACCTTTCCCCGAGATTTTTCTTCAAAGCCGGAAACAGATGGAAGTCGTTTGGTGCAAGATCAGGACTGTATGGCGGATGGTGTAGGCGCTCCCAACCAAGAGTTGCAATATGGTTTTGCGTTGCCGTCGCCGAATGTGGTCTGGCATTGTCATCCAACAGCAGAACGCCAGATGTGAGAAGGCCAGGCCGCTTTTCCGAATCGCCTCTTTAAATTTCGACAGGGTGTCACAGTAGCGCGTAGCATTGATGGTTCCAACCTCCAAAAAGTCCAGCAACAAAACTCCTTGGGCGTCCCAGAAAACTGTGAGGAGAACTTTACCTTGCAGAGGGAGTTGTCTTGAACTTCTTTCGGACAGGTGATGACGGATGTTTCCACTCCATAGATGCGGCCTTCGATTCTGGCGTGAAATGGTGGACCCACGTTTCATCCCCCGTCACAATCCGAAACAGAAAGTCATTGCCATCTTCATGGTAACGCACGAGATGTTCCAGGCTGACCCCCATGCGTCGTTCCTTGTGTGTCGAGGTCAATTGTCGGGGCACCCATCGTGCTGACACTTTTCTGTATCGAAGAATTTCGTGGCTGATGTTTTGAGCTCGCTTATGTGAGATTCCAAGATCATCCGCCACTTCATTGATGGTGATACGCGGGTTAGCTCTAATCATGTCATCCACCTTCCTGACATTTGCATCTGTAGTGGCCGTGCGCGTCCGTCCAGCTCTCGGTATGTCCTCCACTTGCTGACGTCCATCACTGAATATGCGACACCATCTCCGCACCATTTGCTTCGACATCACACCAGGCCCATAGACTTCCACGAGGTGGTTATGAATTTCTGTTCCTGATGCTCCACGTGCCATTCATAGCAGATAACTGCTCTCACTTCCTCCTTTGACCATGAATTCAAAACGCACCTTCTCTCCATACCTATCGGGGCTCAAATGAGAGGCTGGTCTCCACTTTGCACAAGTGCTGCAACAGCTCCATCTGCTTGATTTGCAGCGACCTCTACCCAATGGTGTATCGGTGACTTGCACATTTTCCTGCTGTGTCGCCTTTCGCCCATAGCCGTTCAACGCTTCTTCCATATGCAAAGCGTGAATTTTTCTTGGAGGACTTTTTGAAGCTTATCAAGCGATATGACAAATGTCTCAACGTACTCGTACGAGAATAATAAAATAAAGGTATGTCATATCTTTAATGTCTCATTCTATTTTTTTTACTTTCATACACAACTCTGACCACAGTCGACAGGGGAAACTTATTTTTCAACTTACCTACGTACATGTTTGCAATGGGGTGGATATTATAGTGCACAGTTGATTATGTGAAAGAGAAAGAGGTTTGGAAATCTGTTAAAAATTTTTTTAAATATCTTAATTTATTGGTAGATTATTTCAGTTAAAATTTGTGCTGTGCTTTAAGATTTCTCCCAACATGATCTGTCAAAAATGAAAACAGCAGTGGCTTCAATAAACAAATTTTAAAAAAGAAGATACAATTCATGTGATAGTACTTATGTTTTAATGCAACCACCTTGGTGCAGTTTGGAAATTTTTTTACAAATGAAAAGTAAAAGTTGCCTATCAGGCACAAGTTAAGAGATTTTTGCCATCTTTATTTATTTATTTTTAATACTTGTAAACTATCGTTATTTATTATAAGTCACAAACATTGTCAGCATATCAAAAGAAAACAAGCTTAAAAATTTTTAATTATTAAATAAGGATTATATAATAAATTGAAATAATAAATAAAACACATTTTTTGTGATGTCTTTGTCTAATTTTTTTTTAGTCCTATTCTTTCTATGTTCATAGTGATCTGTTTCTGCTGAAAAAATGTCAAAGAATTGCAAACTCGGCATTGTGCACCAGCTATTTGTGCATCTCTCTGCAGCAGAATACCGCATTCCTGTAGAAATTTTACTGAAGTTTGTTCTATGAAAAACAAATTGAACAAGCAATAATTTAAAATTAAGTTTAAGGCCAAGAATGTCACAGTTTGTCTCTAGAAGTCCTTGGAATGCAACTAAAAGAATGAATATATTTGCTTGGCTAAAAGATTGTTTTGAGAATGGTTATGGGCATAATTGTTATAGTTTGGTACAGTCTGAAAATTTGGCAACTTTGTCTGAAAATTTGGCAACAAGATTGTTTTGAGAATGGTTATGGGCATAATTGTTATAGTTTGGTACAGTCTGAAAATTTGGCAACTTTTACTGTGGTGGTTACAATAAGACGTAAGTACGCATGTGACTTTATTGCCACCTCAAGTAATAGAAGAAAAGCCACTGAGTTGTGTTTATGTGTTTTATATATTGATGTTTATGTTAATAAGTTCTCCTTTTATGCAGTTTCCTCTTTTATATAATTTAAATAAAAAAATGAAAACTTCTCTTATTATAAATATGTTCAAAACAACATTATTATCAAAAATGATGTGTACAAAAAGGAGCTACCTATCTTATCTCTAAAAATGACCTGACCATAGGTTATTCAAAAATACTTTTATCCATAATTACTCTGTTCCACTTATCCACTTAGTAAATATTATGCAAATAGTTATTTACCTCAGTTTTTTGGCTGTATTAGATTTTTTAGATGAGAACAGGCCCAGTTTTTTTAATTATTATTTTATTTTGCAATCAATGATATTGCATTATACCTGGAAGTGATTTTTTAAATTGTGAATATTTTCAGTATTGTTATTTTTATTATGAATGTGTAAATTACATCATATTACCTGTGTGAACGGCCAAAAATAAATTTAAAAATAAAATCTGACTATTCATGCAGATATATCATATAAAAGTTGAAAATATAAGGCAAACAATTTTAAGGATGGCAAACAATTTTTATTACCTGTTAATGATATAATGTGGTAACTTAAATTGTTCTTCTAGTTTATGCAAATTTTATAGAATGCTGTTAGCATATATCTTCAAAGCATAAATTATCTCTCTTTTAGATGACAAAGATCCTGAGAAAAGGATAGCTCTTCTTCAAGAGAAAATGGCTGAACTTCGTCAACAATACATGGCTCTTCGAGCTAAGGTGATAGCGATCGATCACAAGCGAAGAAAAGCTAGAAAGAAAGTTAGAGAAGCAGGTATGTTAAAATTTTAAGTAACTTTTGCATATGTGAAATGACATGAATTTGCATGTCATAGAAATTCTTAATTTCTGCCATTTTATATATAAGACTGCATTTTGAATTGTTGTATGGCTTCCCAAACAGTTTCTTTGATTGGCTTAAAGTATCAGTCTGTATACAAAACCAAAGATTTAAAGATTAAGCCCCTCCTAATTAGATAATAAAAATTAGCTAAGTAAAATCTGTGAGATAATTTGTCATAGTAATAGTATTTCTGTTATAATTTTAGGGAACCTTGATTATATTTTAATATTGTTAAACAGTAAAAAGCCACAGCAGCCCCTGCATGTATATGTGTATGTGTAATTATTAATTTTTTATTTTAGATTATCTCCTCGTGAATGAATTGCAAAAATTATTGTAAAATGAACCTTATTAAAAGTTAATTGTTTAGAAGATTGAGATAAAACCATGGAAAAAATACCTAGTCGAAATATGAAATAGTTATGGAATTTGTATTAAAAACTTTTAAGTACTAATTATTACATATCAAAAGAATTTTTTTTATTATTGATCTCATGGAAGAAGGCAAACTTTTCAAGTGGATTGAGTCTTTTTCCGTAAAGAATTCCATTACAAATTTATCTTTCTCTTGAGTATTTTTTCATAATTTTATCTCAATCTTCTAAAAACTTACCTTTTAATAAGATTCATTTTACAGTAGTTTTTGCTATTCATTTGCTACGGGATAATCAAAAATACATAATTAATAATTAAATACTCATGGCAGAGCACTGGGTCTTTACCTTTAAAGTCCATTTTTTTTTTTATGCTTATTTTCTTTATCTATATAATGTATGAACTTAAAATTCACTTAGTTCGAAAACAAGTTATTCTAATACTTGCACAATAGCTGCAATGTAAGATAATAATAATTTATTTACTAACAAAATATCGATTATATTATCTCGCTAATATTAATTTTAGTAGAAGTATCTAAAAAGAGTGAACCCAGAGGTAGGAAGTTTAATTAAAGTTTTTGTAGAAAAACTTTAAAATAAAACTAAAAAGTGGAGATAATATATAGAGTGAGTGCATTAAGAAAGAGAGAAATAGCACTAATAGCTGCTATTTAGCATATCAAATGTTGTATGATCTTAAAATTCATTTAGTTCGAAAACAAATTTTTCTAATACTTGCATAATAGCTGCAAAGTAAGATAATAATAATTTATTTACTAAAGAAATATTGATTATATTATCTCCTAATATAAATTTAGTAGAAGTATCTAAAAAGAGTGAACCCATATGTAGGAAGTTTAATTCCAAAAATTGTGTTTTAAAGTAACTTGAATGTAAATTGTTAAATGTGTTTAACGGGGACTTGAATTAAATCATGAATGGCCCTTGAATGATTGTGAAGAGGTTAACATTTTTCCATCTGACTTAAACCAGGGTTGATTGTGGTCCGCATATGGTCAGAATTCGGAATTTTTTACTTTCCCAAATCAGGAAATTCTGGATTTGGGGAAATGGCAAGTACATGTAATTTTCATTATGTATTGTACTGCAAATCATATGCACTGTGTTCATTGTATGGACAGGTAACCTGAATCCTCAGTTATCTTCAAGATTAATTTCATTAATATAGAGGCAGCACGAATTATTGGAAATTTTTATAAAGTTAATCCATTAAAAACATTAATGTATTTTGAAATAGATACGTGTAGAATGTGCTGATTATGCGAGGAAGATAAGTTTTCGATAAAGAACTCTCTCTCTTCATCGGATTTAAAGGCATGAATCCTATTTGTGTTGTGAAACAAACTACTTTCATAGCTATGATGAAATTAGCAGATGATTTGCTAAATGTAATTTTTGAAGAAGAAAAGTCTAGACCAGGAAGTTAGGAAATATCAAACAGTTGTCACACACACACACACACACAAAAAAAAAAAAAAAAAAAAACAAGGCTTTAAACTTTTGGGTTGAAGTATTAAAGTTAAAAGGAGAATGAAAACAGAAATAAATACCTAGTACAGTCAAATGCCGAAAATCCGCCAACTCCTGAAATTCACGTTGCCTCTCAAAATATAAACATTCAGTTTATAGGTTCCGGAAACGGCAGTATTGAGTATGAAATATCGAAGAAATAATACTTACCGAATAAAGACATCATAATTACCAAATAATAGTGAGTCATAATGGCAATACCCAATTATTGACATCATGATAAAAGTTTTTTCTCTTCTAATCTCTGCATCGAGGTAAGAAAGCAGGCGATTCACTCAACTCTTCTTTCAAGTTCACGATTCATGTTGTTGTATTTTCTAAGCTTTGTTATTTCACAAGATTATTTAGTGCTGTCTTTTTTTTTTCATCCTGATATTTTGTGGATAAATTAAGAATATTTTAAATTTCAGCCCTTTTTAATACAATTACAGATAAGAAACACACTCATGATTTTACTGCTTGCAAGGTTGAAAAACGTAAACACGTTGCATTGACGGTAATGCAAAAAATGCAAATTCTGCAAAAGATGGAGGTAGGCGCATTTTATAGCAGAATCGTATGGAATTGTGATACGATTGTGTATGATATACGTAAAAATAAAGGAAAGCTGTTGAAATTTTACAGCAACAGTGATTCTAACACTGGAATCCGAAACCGGAAATCTTCGCATGAGGTGAAATCGGCAAACCTCGATGCTGTGTATGTATAATAATATAATCAATTTATATATATAACAATAATTTAATGCATATAATAAGTTATTGCAATAATGTATATGATAATTTAAACCGCAAAATATATCTAAATACGCCTTATTTATTTTGCACTTTTAGTCTGAGTATTATGATTTATCTTTTCTGTCCTGAAAGTCGCAAAATCCTAAAATCCGCACACCCTCTGGTCCCAAGCTTTGTGGATTTCTGGACTTCTACTGTATTAACAAATTTAATTAAATTTCTTTTAATCTGCTTCCATGGATCCACTGCTAAAAATGCATTTAATTATGTGGGTGATATGACAGAATGTAGAACATCTTTGAACACTGACAGCTTAGATGCTGTGAAATATTATTTATTCTCATTTTAAAAAAAAAAAAAAAAAAAAAAAAAAAAAAAAAAAAAACCTGAAATTTTTGGATCAGAAAATCTCCTTTAGAGTCCTCTTCATAGAGATTTTTAGGGATAATTTATTGAATGCTAACCAAGAAGCTCTTTACATTCTATAAATAGTTCTGTTCTAACTAGCAGTTTCTCCAGCTCTTGTTAATTTGCATACTGCAGGTTCTAATCTAATATTTGAGGAACTAACTGAAAAAATTGTCTATATCAAAATGACATACTGATCGTACTGAACTTTCAAGTGTTAGTAAAGGAAATATAAATGCAACAATTCTGTTATCTTAGTCACCCTCACCCTCCAAAAAAATGGCAAGTTGGATGTAATATTTATTTTAAAAAAAGTGTTGGGAAACCATAAAGATAAATAACTTTGTGAATGTAGCTTAACATAAATTAACATTTAATAAATTAAAAAATATACTATTTGCTTCAGAAACAAAATTGTTTGAAAATTGCATGTATGTGTGTCACATACATAATATTCTGAATTATTTGAAATTATGTTAGGTTTTTTACTTCCAGCCAGTTTTTAGGGTTTTTGAAATTGCATTACAAACACCCTGCTAAACATTAAGTGAAGCTCCAGTATTGTCATGTTATTTTACTGTATTCAAACTGATGATCTAAAATCTAAAAATTTCCAAAATCTGAAACTGTCAAATTTCAACGGTTCATGATCTTGGACTTTAATACTGTACATACATACATACATACATACATACATACATACACACACACATATATATACAATACATAATGCTTTTGACACTTCTAAAAATTTATTCTAATATTGATTGGCAAAAAATTTGACCCATAAACAAAAAAAAAAAAAAAAAAAAAAAAAAAAAAAGGAATGTCCATAATATAATACAGAAATCTCCAGACACAGACAGTCGTCATCGTATACTGGTACTGCATTTCTAATGTGGTATAAATTGAATTTGTGTAAAGCCTATTATTAATGTAAACAAAAAATGTATTTCACATAATTAGAAAAAAAAACTGTGTGTAATTACATCCGGTTGATCTCGGTTAGCACAAAAGACTTTAATTTTCAATTAATGGCAGTTAATAACATATTATTTTTATATCTGTATTGAACATGGACTACAGTTTATGAATGCAACTTTATATATTGAATGCAACTTTATATGGACTTAGCTCAGGGTAAATTATTAATGAAAGGCCAGATTTGAAGTCATCTATCTGATTATCTGGGTAGTTAAGAAATAGTGTGATATGGGGCTGTGGCTGTCCTATTTAAAGAGGAATCAGAAGTCCTTTGCTGTACCTTTGTTGTTATTAATATGTTTTGTCCATAAATATTTGATAATGGAAGAACTAATGCTTCAGGTAGATTACCCTATGGAAGTTATTTTATTCTCAGTTTGTCATATTGTTTCATTGTAGATTTAATAGACCTAAGGAAATTTTTCTGTTTTCAGAACTTTATTTTATCTGGTTCATGTTCTATAGCTCTTTCTGTTTCTTTAGAGACATAAATGTGTTCTTACTATTTTATTCAACTCTTAAGTTGGAAGGACTTTGCTTTGCTCGTGTTAATTGTAAGATTTATGTAATCTTCAGTGACTGTGTTCAGTCCAACCTGTCCAGCTAACTTAGAAATTTCATTTACTCTCCATCATTACATTAGGAGAATATTTCCAAAGAAATTTATCTTTAAATAAAACGTTCTCTATTTTTTTCTTAATTTCTAACCTAAAAAGCATAGAGCAGAATAATCATAAATCGAGTCATTGTAAAATGGTAATTAATTTCTAAATAGTTTATTTTATTTATTCATTTAAGTATGTCAGAGACTTGATACATTTGTAAAATGACTAAATCTTTAGAAGGTTTAAAATAATTTGTTTTTTAGTTTATTATTGCTTTTTGACTACAATTAATTTTGAACTGATAGACTGATTCTTAGTTCTGATTTTTACATGGGCTGTTATAAAATAATAGTACAGTGTTGAAACTTTCAGTCCAGTTAATAAGCTGTAAATAATTTGTTCAGTGTTTGAATAGGATTGTGAGATTTATTTGTATTTTTACTGTGTTTTAAATTATTTTTATATATTAATATTCATATATTAATTATTTCATATGTTAATATTTGTATAGGAGCTGCAGTTACAAATCCTGCTGTACAATCAGAAGATGGGCAAAGCTGCTCCTAATATCACATTTTACAAGCAAGAAAATGCTTTTATTGTAATTTTTTGTAAAGAAATATTATTGTAATGTATGAACAATAAGATCTGTCGTGAATTTGACTGCAAACTGAATCAGATATTTTATCAATTTTAATTGGATTTTATTTTTACTTGCTAATGAGATTTATTTATACATTATCAGTTATACATAAGTCAATCTGTTGTTGATATTGTTATTATTATTATTATATGTTATTTTGTTATAACGTTACCTGAAATATTAGTTTCTTTTTAAAAATAATATTTCTCCTTTAGTGCATTAAAATATTTAGAAATTGGCAGGCTTCTAAAAGAGTATGATGGAACATGAGCTGCCTTTTAGCCAGTGACAAGATTCTGTGTAGTGCCATACATGAAGGATTTTTTAAAAACTAATTCTGTGTAAAATAATTATAGGTTGTATGATTTTCCTTGATCAACATTTAGTTATCATGATGTGCAAATAGTTAGTTTAATGTTTTTCTAACTGAAATTATTGTAAGCATACCTTTCGCTTTTCTAAAATCATTTTAAGAAACATAAATTACTCTTTTATGAAACAATTTAGTATAGTTTTATGCGAAAGGTTTTCAGGTAAATATTATTAGAAATACTACTAAAAAACTAACATGCATGTAATATATACATATAAAAAGAGTGATATAAAAAAATTGAAGAATATTTAATTAAATACTATATATTGTGTATGCTTGCTTAATTTCAGCTCCATTTTTTTTTGGAGGGGGGGTATAATTTTATCCTACAAAAATCAAAAAGGAAAATTTATCTGAATAATTTAATTTCTGAATTATATGGTTACAGTAGGAACATAGCAAATTAAAATTATTTATGAATAAACTACTAGTAACTACAACAGTATTATTTATTTAGAAGAAACTTACATTTCTATAAGAATACCTAGTAATATTAATGTTACAGATCTTCATTTCTACTTCCATATGTCTTGAATTGCTTTTATTGTTGACCAGTGCTGCTGCATAGGCCTGAAATCATTCAATGCTGTTGGAACTGTTGTCTGTGTCATCTGCTAGAACTTGCAAGTAGTCGTCGCCATCTTAGCATTCAGTCTGTTTTCCCTCATGCATTTGTCTTCAAAACCATGAAGTGCATTAGTTATCCCTGTTTTCTTGGAACTTTATTATTATTGCTTTTTTATTAATAATCAGAGCCCATGTATCTGAAATATAAGTTCAAATCAATCCAATGGAAGTCTCTGGATTTTTCCAGTTCTAGTAGAATTGTGCAATTTCGTGGACATCCTTATTTTAAAGCTTTCTAAGGTAGTCTTTGAATAATTTATTCACTGATATACTCAGTGTTTGCAGAAATGATGTAAGTCCTGGAATTATGACAAGAATGGTATTTGTTTTGTTACTTTGTTTTTTACATCTTCCATGAAACATGCACCGAAGCTGCTCGACACTAGTACTGATTTCTTATGTACTGTGGGTAAAAAAAGTATTTGCACACCTACATTCTTGTTTGCATTTCATAAAAAGAAGCATTAACAAATAAAAGAATTGGTATTGCCAAATCAGAATAAGTTGAATCATCCAAAACAAACAGAAAAATTACAATAATATAAATAACAATGCTTTTTTGTTATAAAAATTAAATACCTCGTGTCAAAAAAGTATTTGCACACCTGCATGACTGCAAAAGAAATAAAATATATAAGCAAATTTCAAATAACTAATATTTAGTATGCATTCCTTTAGTATCTATTACTGCTTGTATTCTTGCTGGCATTGATTTAATTAAATTTTCTGTAATAGTAGGGTCAGTATTCGATCACTCTTCAATAAGGGCTTGTTTAAAGGCAGATTTGCTTGAAATCTTCCTTTTTCTTATTTTTAAATCCAAAGAATTCCACAAATTTTCCAAAGGATTTGAGTCTGATGATTGGGGTGGAGTGGCAAGTTTTCTGGGTACATTATAAAGCAACCACATACATGTTATACCGGCAGTGTGCTTGGGATCATTGTCTTGCTGAAAATAGTACAAATTACTGATACTCAATTTTATTGCACTTTGTGGCAAGTTATCTCGCAACACATCAATATAGGTTCGAGCTGTCATATTCCCATCAATGAAACACAAATTACAGACTCCTTTGCTAGTCATACACCCCCAAATCATAACAGAACCTCCTCCATGTTTAACTGTAGGTAACATATTTTTGGTATGAAAAGCATTACAAGGTTTTCTCCAAACTAATTTCCTGCCATCTGATTTTAAAGATATTGAAATTACTCTTGTCGGAGAATATGACGTTTTTCCAGAAATCAATTGGCTTATTGATATATTTCTTAGCGAATTCAAGTCTTCAGTCTATTTCGTTCAATTATGAGAAGTTTTTACCTTGGAGATCTCCCATAAATGTGTGCATTGTGCAGGACATTTCGAACACTTTGGGCACAGATTTGAACTCCAGATGTTGAAGTGACATCATTGGCTAAAGTAATTGCACTAATAAATGAATTTTTTGATGCTTCTCTTATGATTTTTCGCTTAATTTACAGTGAAAGTTTCTTTGGGCGTCCAGAGCGCAAGTTATTTGATGTAGATCCTCTTTCTTTATGACGTTTTATAACAGTAGTAACCGAACAGTAGAGAAGCAAACATTTACTTTTTTTTTATCTATTTCTCGATAACTTAGGCCATTTTCACGTAGAGAAAAAATTTTTTTCTCGCAACTAAATCGGCAATTCAGATTTCTTAGGTGCCATTACAATTTGAAATCGACAATCAACTGATAACGTTTCAAAAACACCTCCTTTTATAGTCGTCTTACGTATGTTATTTACTGCGGGATGACTGTCAAATAATAGCATAAAAATGCAAATTTGCTAAAGTTGAGGTGAGTGTGCAAATACTTTTTTGGCATAAGATATTTTAATATTGTTCCAAAAAATGTTTTTTATTAATATTGTATTTTTGTAATAAATTTAAATGAATAAGCTTATTCTGTTTTTTTAAATGCCAATTTTTGTATTTCTTAATGCATTTTCTTATAAATTGTGAACAAAAATGTATGTGTGCAAATACTTTTTGTACCCACTGTAGAAGAGCATCTGATTGACAACGAGTCCATACAGTTTTGAGCCACTCTTTCATTAAGTTGGACAGTAATCAACTTTAAAATAATTATATTATGTAAACTTAATGCATTTGCTGCAAATGATGTAAAATTTACATTGATATAGCTTTCATGGATTTCATCTGTGCTTGGATTCCAGCTGAGGCAGTCATGGCTCCTGGCTGAAAAAAAACCGGAAAATCTTCTAAGAAAACTCTTACATCAGTGTAATTTTTACATTATTAAACATGCATAACAGCATTATTGTGCATTATTTAACACATGGCGAACTTTAATTTTTAAGTGCTGTTGTTTTAGCTAAAGCAGTAATTAGCAATGCAGATCTTGTCCTAAATTTCTAAAATTTCATCTGATAGTCTGTCCAGAAAATGTGGCTGCAAGCTCTATTTCCTTACATATTAATCTTAAGATGTACACATCCTGTTTCAAAGTGATTAGTATGAAAATAGTTTCAGCCTGTAAGAGGAAGATTGTAAAATCAATATTTAAATTTTTTAAGCATGTTAAAAAAGTTTGAATAATAATATACTCTGTCTACTAGTGTATCATATATGTTTCAACAAATTAAATTTTGTAAAAAGAAAAACTTTTTTCACTCACCCATCACAAAGATTTTCCTTTTTATGAGTGAACCATGATGCAAAATATATTTACTTTTCTTTAGAAATCAGACTTTTATTTCATGCCACTTTATAATGTGAAACAATCTTTCCTTAAGTGCATAGCTTGTTGAGATTGTAGTGTGATATATAGTGTGTACTTGCTACACTGAAATTGTTTGCTCACAGCAACATTTGCTATGCAGTATTGATATAGTGTATATAGTTTTTTATAACTTTTTTAGTAATCTGATTCAGTTTTTAGTCATAGTATATTTACTGTATATGCAAGACAGATTCTTTTTCAGCATAAATTGCTGATTCTGTACATATATTGACCATTTAATGAATATATAGAGAGCTGCATATATGAATTGTTGATCTTAAAGAGTTTCTTTAGTGAAATTTTATATTAAAAGCACACCTTTGTTTACTGACTGCATAATCAACACTCTTTCTTTTTTGGATATCACGTTTTCCATTATTTTAAAATTCCAAATGCTATTTCTTCTGTTCTAAAATATTTCATGTTTCAGTTTTCTATTGTTATGTGCATATCCATTAAGATGTCAGTTAATACTTTTAAGATCAGTTATCCTACTTTTAATAAAGTAAAATTCAGTTGTACAACTCATCTCCATATATTAGGAAATCATTTGTAATATTTTCTAAAAATCTGCCCATTTTACAGATGTATTTACATTTTTCAAAATAATCTTTTTGATTAATAGATAGGAAATTAAAATACAAAATTAATAATAAAGGAAGTTTTATGAAAACAAAAGCACTTTTACATTTCTGCTTTTATATATAATACAATATTTAATTTTCTTTTCTGTATCTAGAGCAAAATTTGCCTTACCCTTGATTATTTTTGTTATAATGCTGGTCGTTTTTTTAAATTTGTTCTTTTTATTAGAAAATCTAAAGAAACATCTAAAGAACTAAATTCATTTGAGCAGCTGTGTTATGAGATGAGAAATTATGCCACATTGTTGCTTAAGTAGACCAGTTCTTTCCTGAGGTGGAAAATCATGCAAACCCTTTGATGACAGAGAAAATTATTTTAATACTTTTATATAACATCAACACTGTTACACCTAATATTTGTGGTACAAAATTTTTGTCTTGATGGTTTATTTATTTACTTTTTCAAAGAATTCCACTTGTAAAAATGTATTTGTAGATAAGATCTTATTAAAATATCATCGTGAATCAAATTACTGTATGCCGTCTTTGAATGGAATGCTACAAATATACTTTTTTTTATAAAAAAATTTCTGCAAATATATTCTTAATGTCCTGTACAGTTGTATTTAATATATATATTGTACAGCATAATTATTGTTTTTAAATTTTATATTTGTTTATAACTTTTATAAATTATTCTGAAAGGAAAAAAATTTAAAAAAAAAAAAAAAAAAAAAAAATCATAAAGAGTTAGGGACATGTGCATGCCATTTGTAAGTTTCTGTTTGCAAATGAATGGTGTACTTGAATAAGTGGTAATATTTTACTGAGTTTTAATGTCTTTGTTGTTACATTTTTATTTTTGATACCACACTGATGGGAAAAAGATTATCATCTGGTTTGTGTGAACAAAATTGCATATGTAACTTTAAAGCATGTAAGTGATATATATATACAAGATGTGGCTATTAATTTTCAGGACTGCTCTAATAACACCAGAACAGATGATGTGAAAAACGTAACCTTTTAATATGTTAAGAAGTAATTCCCCATTGGTCGTAACATACTTTTGTGCTCGACTGTATATAAGTTGTGGAAACAACTTTTAAAGTCCTTTTTCAGAAGGCTCTTCAATGTCGACGTCACGTTCTTCTTGATGTCTTCAACATCCACAAAGCGTTTTGATCACAGTTTTGAGTTTGCTAAACAAAAAGAAGTCTGCAGGGATTAAGTCAGGAGAGTACGATTGAACATTCCCAAACTCAAAACTGTGATCAAAGGATGTCTTTGTGGATGTTGAAGACATCAAGAAGAATGTGAGGTCAACATTAAAGAGTCTTCCGAAAGAGGACTTTAAAAGTTGTTTCCACAACTTAACAGACGAGCACAGAAGTGTATTACAGCAGATGGGGATTACTTTGAAACATATTAAAAGGTTACTTTTTTCACATCATCTGTTCTGGTGTTATTAGAGCAGTCCTAGAAATTAATAGCCACACCTTGTATATTCTATTTAATATAATTAATCATGTAACACTTACTCTTAAAATTAATCAAAATAATCTTACCTTTGCTGCCTAATCCCTTTTTTATGTAATATATATATTCCTCACTAAGGAAGGTTTATTCAAGGTCAGAAGTTTTAATATTAATATTAATAATAATAAAGGTAAATAAAACAGAAAAATAATAAATAAATAGGATAAATTTATTCTGTAATTCTCTTTCTACATACCCAATATAGTTTCTACTCTTTAAAGTATTGAAAAAGAAGGAAGTAAGAGCAGTATTATGTAAATCACTTATTAAAAACATTTTTTTAGAATGATTTGATTCAGAATATCTTGAAATTTACAAAATCATATATAGTGTGTGGAGGGTTTTTTTTTTTTTTTTTTTTTTAAATTCTGGCAGACTCTAGACAATATTTGTCTTTATGCGAGGAAGATTTTTTTTCTTTTCCTTTTTTAAAACCTTAAAAAAATAGGATAGAGTTAACTTTTATCCTCTGAAATTATTTCTTATTTATGAGGGTTCAGATTTGCGTAAATGAAACTAATCATGAGTATACTGAAGCAACATCAAGTACCATAAAAAGATCTGAGTAGCAGTACACAGTACCTCATATTTCATCATTCTTGTAAATATATGTCAAAATGT